CCCCAATCGCCTGAAAGTAATTAAATCTCCTTGCTAATATCCCTGGTTGCTTCCATCAACTAAAACCGCCCTGGATGTCGTCGAAGACGTAATGAAGCCATCTCCATTCATCCAATCAATTCCTTTAGAAGAGCGAACTCAGAGGGACTGCGAAATAACGTCGAGTGCTCCTTCCCACTGTCCTTCAAATCTCCACTCCTGTATGTAATCCTTATTTTGTTGGAGGAGAGTTCCACCAGCGTTATCCTGTGATTAGCCTCTGAAGCTCTCGGCAAATCTTTCAAGACAAAGCCTGCTGGATATATGGAGTGCTAATGACTATTATTTATATAGAGGGGAAAGCTGAACACTTGTACAAGTGTATTGTTTTGTCATTGTTTGTCTTTCGGTGCATCATAAATAAGCAGATTGACTCTGGTGGCTCTTTAGAGTCTGAAAATTTTCAGAAATTCTCGTTTTGTCTATCAAAATTCGTCTGTTGGGTTTTCTACAGGGTGCCCAAAAAGTATGGGTACATCAAAATATCTCGAAAAATATGTTTCCAATAGAAAAATGTTGTAGAACAAAGTTGGAAGGTTTAAAAAGGGTCGGCTAATGGTGACCTTGAATATGACTTTGACTACGGTCTTCAAGGTCATTTGAAGGTCTACGCAGTTTTTTTTAAATAGAATATCTCTTTTTGACCACGAACACTCTTTGTTGAAGTAGGTCAATGACCTTGAATATGACCATCAAGGTCATTTGAAGATGAAATAGATGTTTAACCCGAAACATCTATTTTTAATTTCTGAAATGCAAATTGCGGACAATTTTACTTTCAAGTATATCCTTGCCAATGAACTGGACTATGACCGTCAAGGTCAACTGAATAGTCAGAAAAGTACTTCAGTGAAGTTTCATCATATACTTGACAATGATTTTCAAAGTTATTTGATCGTTAAGTTAACTTTCCGTAGTGGATTCTCGTATTATCGCTTCCAGAACAGTAATTTCACGTCCCGCTAACTCCTCGATCATCGTAAAACATTCAAGTTCGTGGTCAAGGTCACGTTTGAGGTTACCTTCGGATGTCGCTTTTTCACTCTTGCAACTTTGAAAGATTGCTCTGTAAATAGAATATTGTTCGATATATTTTGCCCTTTCCAAATGTTACAGATGTCCTAAGATATCCTTGAAGGTTATAGTCAAAATCGCTAACAAACACTTGAAACCAAAAATTTCACTCTTTGCATTTCCGCTCTCAAAAACGTAGCTTTCTATTTAAGAAAACTGTACTGACCTTTAAGCGACCTTGGAGGTCGCAGTCAAGGACACGTTCAAGGTCTCCCTTAGATGACACTTTTTAAATCTTACAATTTTGTTTTGAAACATTTCCATCTATGAACTGTAGCTTTCGAGATATTTTGATGTACCTATCCATACTTTTTGGGCAGCCTGTATCTATTTTAAGAAAATGTATTCTCAATAGATTTTAGTCGTCTTTTAGTACTCTGCGAATGGTACAATACAATCAATTCAATTTAAAACCTTTGTTTTATATACATTCTGTTACTGTATTGTGCCTTGGGATTATACAGGGTGTAAACGTTATGATAGTCATTATTTAAATGGGTGATAGAGGGGGTTAAAAGAAGCAAAAAGTTTCATATAACATGGGGGTCAAAACGGCATTTTTTATAGAAAAGCGACTTTAAAGTAAAATAAAATCTGACAACGCCGAAATGCCAGACGCAAATTACGACGGAACGCAGTGTAAATAAAGATCGAGTTTGTTATTTTTGGCTATCAGGTATTATTTTATTATTTGATAATGTACGCGTAAAATGCAAACAATTAAAAAAACCACCAACTGTCTCAGCGCTTCACCTGGTGTGTGAAAGTTTATTGAACGTATTGAAAAAATCCACTTACAAATAGGGAACACAATTTTGATACATTCTTTTTCTTTTTAAAACCCACAATGCACTTTTTTGTATTTAAAGAAGGTGTTCAAAATGTCGTCCTCCACTTTCCACACATGCTTTATTACGACCGTCACGAATGATATGAGGATTTTCTTAGGCCCACGTGTGAGTATTATGGAAATTTAGTAACCCGTCTCGCGTGAAAGTACATTCGTCCGGCGATAGAATGTTTTTAAAAAAATCCAGATTTTCAATGTTTTTGTGCGAAAACCACTGACAGAATGTTAGTCTGCGAGGATAGTCTTCTGGTAACAAGGCCTGCACTCGTTGTACATGGTAGGGATAAAGCATATTTTCCCGTAGGATTCTATGGACTATGGTATGCGATAGTCCTACGCGGCGGCCTAATTCCCAAGTGATGATATCGGCATTGATTTCCACGATATTTAAAATTTGTTCCTCCAGCTCTACAGTAACCTGTCTTTCACGAGTGCGAAATTAGTGGGCTGAACACTTCCTGTATCCCGAAGTCTTTGGTAGACTTGCACAAATGTCCTTCTGTCTGGGTGTACCCGTTGGCGAAATATGTCGCGATAAATTTGAGCTGCAAGGTTTGAGTTCTGACAAGCTTCACCGTAAACTAACAACATGTCGGCGAACTCTTGATGACGTACGCGAACAAAAACGCGCTGTTGTCATGTGTGTTTTAAATATTCAATTTAACGAAACTTACTGACTACAACTTAGAAAAACTTAACGCCACTTATTTGTTAATTTCCCAATTTAAACACATGTTAGATTAGATTATAATAATTAGTAAGGTTGTAGTGATTGTGGTCGATATAAAGCACTTACAGTTGTAAACTATAAAGCCATTTAGACAAAAATCTATTGACTTTTGGACCATGGGTCATATGAACTTTTTGACTTGTTTTGACCCCACCTGTTATCCATTTCAATAATGACTACAATAACGTTTACACCCTGTATACAAGCAATAAAAAACATATACAGGGACTTTGAAGTTGAGTCATTAATTTTCAGATAATGATTGTAGATGGAAGATAAACCAAAATATGTGTGTAAAAATAAAAAAAAAATAAAAAAAAAATGTTACCTTGTTTAATAAAGTATCCTCCCGACAAGTATTTCAGTGCGGACCTGTATTTGATCGTGCGGTCTTGGAGCAGCATGCCCTTACCTGTGAGGTCTTAAGTCACCTGATTCACGAGCCCTTTGTACTACATTAACAAAGGCACGAGGGGTTGGTTGCACTCGATTGGGAAACCGATTCGCATAAATCCGTGATGCATCCGGGAGCATTTTGTAAAGACTGCCCCCCGTAAATAAGAATCATGTCCACAAGTTCAGCATTTTCGTAAACATGTGCCATTTTTGATTTCGTTTGAACCACGCAACACACTACTATTCACTTACGCGTTATCGACTGACGAAAAACATCGTGATAAACGTTTCAAATTCTTTCGCTTTTTTGTTTCCGATGCGATGAACCGGTCAGGCGGATTATATCCGTTGTCGCCAAACACGAGCATATAATAGGCAGGGCGGTACTCAAACTTCCAAAGGGCTATAACTTTGTTACTTTAATTTTACCAGAAAAATGGTAAAGGAAAAAAACATTTCTTTTGATCAGATCTACTCACTGTTAAAATAAATGACTCAACTTCGAAGTCACCCTGTATATTATTGCCTCTGGATACATAGTCTAATTGTAAAGTCTGGTTTTACTGGTATAAGTTATTCAAGGGGGTATTTAAAACATGGACGCATAAAATGGGTACACCAATTTTTCTAGGAAAAATTTTCATTTGACAACATGGATTGAGAAAACGGGTTTTTTTGGGATTCAATCAAAAGTGTAGACAGGAACGAAAAACTTTTCATATAAGATTTTCAGGTATTTATGAGACCTACAAAATGAGACCACACGTAAAAAGATCTGGGTAATAGCAAAAATGTTATGATTGAAAAACGAGGCAAAATGCAGGTTCTGGCACTTGTTGGTAATGCAACGATAATTTCACGCAACTACTTGAAATCTTCCAAATCCGTAGGAATCATACCTCTAAATAACAACAACAAAATTTTAGTACATTGGTCAAGTAGTTTTTTGAGAATTTCTAATTGTTTATCCCAAAACACCTGTTTTCCGGCCATCACTACTAGTTTATTTATTTAATAGCAAAATACACGTGTTTACCTTGTCCATATGAATATATATATATATTTACGCGAAAAACAAAGGTTTCGCTTTTTTCTTCTAAACAAATTCAAACATCTAGTATATTTGACTAATTGAACAAATGCGCTACGATATTCGAAAACCATACGTGACTATACACATTTTAAAACAAAGCGGCTGTATCTATCGTCTTTTGTTGCGAATTATTCACAAATACGAAGTGTCTGTTTATAAGAAAAAACGTAACCCAACCATGTTTGCATAAAAATAACATTTATCTTCCGGAATGGTTTGCAACTCATATCGGCAAGATCAACTAGTGTTTTCTGCTATAAAATGCCCTTTGAACTAACCCTGTCTATTGCTCAATAAACTAGTAGTGATGACTGGAAAACAGGTGTCTTGGTATAAACAATTAGAAATTCTCAAAAACTACTTGATCAATCTACTCTTGTTTGGGGTATTTACAAGTACGAATCCTACGAATTTGAAGAATTTCAAATATCTGCGAGAAACAATTGTCGCATTACTAACAAGGGCCGAAACCTGAAGTTTGTCTCGGTTTTTTCCCATAACTTGTTTGCTATTAGGGCTCTTGCACACGAACGGGCAATCCGCCGACCGGCTGTTCCACCGACCGGCAAGAAAATCGGAAGATGGTATTTTACCCACATTCGAATACAACTTAACACACTTGCCGGTACCGGCTATTCTGCCGACCGGCCGCCGTTCATATTAAAATTTGGACGGCGAACACACGGCTGCCGGTCGGTAAGTTAACCGGCGCGTTCATTTCAATGCATGCAAGTCTATGCCTGTTGACACACGAACGGGGATTCTACTGTCGCCGTGGTACAGAGTCGTAGTTTCATTTCCGTTTAGACAGTGTAGTCATGAGGTGCGAAAACGAAAATTTAGATATTGAGGCATTTATTTCTATGGTGGAAGAAAGGCCCGTGATATGGGACAAGACAAGAGAGGATTTTAAGGATAGGAATAAAACTAAAGCCGCCTGGCAAGAAATCATCGATACATTTATTTATGAAAACCTGAACGAAGCAGAAAAAGCCGAAATAGGTATGTAACTATGTAAGATAAGAAACAATATTAACTGTATTTTACTTAATTGCCACGGTACAGATCCATTACTATTGAAATATTTTGTGAAATGGTCCCGTATATCCTTCCCGCTTCTTGATCCTCGCAAATTTCGCTCTCTTGGTATGTCTTCGAGGTTTATGATTTCTAAGACATCGCCGATATTAAAACCATCTCTCATTCGTACTAAATTATGCAAGATACAACATGCTTTAACAATGTCAATGACGAATTCGGGATGTACGTTTATAGGTCGATGAAAGATTCTCCATTTGTTGCTAAAAATACCGAATCCACATTCAACATAACGCCTGGCACGTGATAAAGGGTAATTAAATACACGTTGTTGCTGTGTTAAGTTGTTTCCACCAAATGGACGTAGCAATTTATCACTTAATCCAAAAGCCTCATCGCCAACTAAAATATATGGTACAGCCGGATTTTCTGTTCCTGGTAAGCATTTTGGGCAAGGTGTATACAAAGAATCTGAATTGAATGCATGAAAAAATGTTGACTCTTCAAATACGGAGGAATCACATTCTTTACCGTATGCTCCAATGTCAACATATCGAAAACAGTATGATGTGTCCACAACAGCTAAACAAACGCCATCGCAAGCTTTACTTACAAAAAAGCGTGCCTCAGCACCAAAGAAACGTCAAGACGAGTTTGAAACCAAAGCGCTAAAGATCTTGGAAAAGCCGGACAGCATACTCACAATCACTGAAGATAAATCGTTTTTTGATTCCATTTTGCCGATTGTAGAAAACCTTGATGAAGATGACAAACTTCAATTTCGCATAGAAGTTTTGCAGCTTGTACAACGTTTTAAACGAAAGCAAAAATGCGATGCTTTCAACATGACTTCGATACCAATAGATCGCTACCTTCGTTTGTACCTCCAGCAACTCAGTCATACAGCCAGCAGTGGACACCGACATACCATACATTGCAGTGTCCACAGACTTCAATACCACAATCAAGTACGTCATTTGATCCAACTACATCTCGCTGTGACAATAATCTTGAATATCCACAATCTTTGACACCACAATAGTTTATCCAATCTGACTTAACTACAACCAGAATTTGATTTGTTTAATTTGTTCGTTATGTTCCTTATTTAAATATATCTAGTTCTAAAATCACATTTTAATTCTATTACTTACCTTATTGTAACTGCAAGCATCTCTGTGGGTGGTATCGCTTGTCTCATGTTTGTTTCTTGGAGGGCTATATGTTTGTCCAAACGCTGTAGTAAATAATCAAATGTTGCAACAGAAATTTTTTTTTTCTAATACTGCAACTACCACGAAGGCCTAAGGCCTAAGCACCCATTGGGTACCGTGGGGCTTTGGGGGATACATGGGAAAGGGGGGACGCCACACGGACTCTGGCGAGGGAACACGTGTGCATGCAACATGCACACATTCTGGCTCCGCCTACGAGAACCGCCGGGTGGTACCTCCGCGTTCGACAGTCAGAGACCATCTACCACCTACGCAACAGAAATCCTAAAGTAATTGAAAAATTTTGCTTCATGTTCTCGTAGTCTTGTAAACAAGGTATAAAATGCTCCTACTGCACTTCATTCAGCTACCAGTGGATGAATCCATAATCTTCTTGCTAAAGCTTTCTTGTATTTTCTTCGTCTATACAATAAACACACAAGCACGATCTTCTTTTCACGTTTCGTTTTTGACAATGCACGAAACGAAAATAGCCAAGCTCTTTCTACGTCGGATGACAGTACAGCACTGGCCTTCATGCAGAAGGCAATGTAAACGGCACGTAACCGGCCGATCGCTTATCGTGTCTAAGATAATCCCGATTTCTTTGCCGGGCGGAGAAACAACCGGTCGGCGGAATGATCGGTCGTGTGCAAGAGGCCTTAGTCGGATCTTTTTATGTGTGGTCTTATTTTATATGTTTCATAAATACCTAAAAATATTATATGAATAGTTTTTTCGTTCCTGCCAACACTCGATTGAATCCCAAAAAACACGTTTTCTCATTCTGTGTTGTCGAATAAAAAGTTTTCCCACAAAAATTGGAGTACCCGTTTTATGCATCCTTAAACAGCTTGAAGCAATAAAACCAGACTTTACAATTACTTCGCAAACCAGCGGTATTTTCGTCTAATATGATTAGACTAACATTCAAAATATTAACATGGTATTATTATCAATATGAGATATAGTGCAAAGACCGCTTGAATTTTAGAGGCTGGAATTGACATCGCTGCCTTGGCTGGCTGAATAGATGATATACTTTGGTCAAAATCGGCTTCACTGATTTGTCTTCCTCGGTGTTTTAAACAATTTTTTGGGGCGGGCTGCCACACTGTCCCTTTTGTAGCATCTCCCAAAGTATGTCTTCTGGGATGCAGTAGGCTAACTGGTATATATATTTTCTTAAGTCAGCTGTCTAATTTAAGAATGCCACTTTTACTTGTGTGTAGGAACAATCAGCAAGTCGGTATGTTAGTACCGGGTAGAACACACGCTTCAATTATTTCACTTCTATAGTAACATTCGAGCTGAAGCCAATGACTGGAGACAGAACGTAGAATTATTTCTTTAATGATGCCGTTCGTGCTAACCGTTCCATCAAGATTGAGACCAAGATATCTTATTTGAACAAGGACGAAGGTTACGATTGTTCGCTCCCCATTCCTGTCAAACTTGATCTGATTAGGGTACGTTCGTGCTCGTCCAATTACAATACGCACGATTTTTAGTTTATTACAAGTAAGCCCCTACCGATAATAGTACTCAAATATTACCTGCATTGCCCACTTTGCTCGCATGATGGAGGCGTTTTGTTGTTTGGATTCATTTAGCACGTACAAATCATCTGCGTATCGTGACTTCGTTTGTCCTGCAATGTTTTCTACCGGCAGATCAGAAACATATAAGTACCACAGGTAGGTGGAAGGATGGATAGATACCTGTGGTACTCCGTAGCGTTGGTGGTATATTTTTGATTTGGCCTGATTGTTTTTGCCACATATTTGTCGGATGAGCAAATAGTTCTGTATAATTTTGATAACATTGTAAGGGATGTCCGTTTGTTGTAACTTATACATAAGAACACCATAAGTGACAGAGTCAAAAGCCTTTGAGACGTCGCGCTGGCAGGAACCGCTGCTACGTGGTGTCGTTGTCCAGGTGCATCTGTATTGACTAGTCAGATAGTTCATGGTACAATACCTTTTTAATACCTTTTCAGCTTTTTTAATTTATATTGACATATTTGTGAGCTAGACAGCTTCCTAAGCACCACTGTAACTAAGTGACCCCCTTTAACGCATTGTCTGGATCCGCTGTTGTACAAAATATGTCGCTACGATAAAGGTAAAGATATATCCCGTATCCCCGATCAATCTAAATCTACCTCAAATGTGTCTCTGATCACGTCAGCCAGCTGTCGTTATGATAAGTCACAAAGTGGCTTTCCGTTAAGATACCGACAGACAAATCCCCTCCTCCTCCTTGTGTGCCTCATATCGACAAAAACTCGTTTGTAACTGTCACTGTCGTTGTCTGAGAACGTTGAGGAATGAAGAAGAGGGAGAAGAAAAGGTTGGTTTCCGGCATTATGTAAATCCTGTGTCAGACTTAAAAAAATTGGGACTCCCTTTGCCTCGAAAAACGTCTGGGCGGAACGCTTTGTCATGCATTTATGATTTATTCCAACAGATAAAGCTAGCTGATTGCTGTAAGTTCTCCGGTTATCATCTCCGACTTCGGAATAAATAACACGAAGATTGTGAGATTGTTGGTGTTCTTTACGCGCTGCATTTTTGGTCTCTAAAAATTACAATGTTTACGTCGACGTAAAGATAAGCCGAAATACGAGCAAAATATCAGAAAATAGCAGCAGTTCCGAGATAAGTTCCAAGAGACTGTTTTTATTTCCATGGTCGATATGACAAATAATAATATACCAGGTGTTTAAAATTCGACCCTCGCCATTGGGATCTCGGAAACGGTAAGTCGATTTCAAAATAAATTGCATGTTGTTATTGTCACTTTTTTAAGTTTCAATTAGAGGTTTCTTTTTTCGACTTCCATCACCAACTGTTTTTTCATATGGACACTATATCGGAATTTTCTGCATTTAAATGGATTTTGCAGTCCTAAACTCAGGGATGTATTTCCTTATTTGGACATGAATTTGTTGTTGAAACGAAAGTTACAAGGAAATACAAAATGTATGAATTAAATGTATGAGTATTTCAAAAGATCCACAAAACAGGAATCCGATTAGAACAAATGACGGTTACAGGGAAAAAAGATGAATGTCACAAATTTGGTGTTTTGTAGTTAGAACCTTAACGCAATCCCGTGAGGTATCGGAAATACGCAAAAACAATGACAGTACATAGCTATACTTAATTAAAAACTTGCCGTGCAGGAACAAAAGATTAATGTCACAGCCGTTGTTTGAAAAAAAGGTGAACTTCCACTGATCGTCACCGAAACTAGTAGCTACTACAACAATTTACCACGCACCAATCTGCGACGAAAGAAATAAACGTTAAGTAATCATTTTAAAGAAGTTACTAATAATTTTGTTTTGTTTTTCTATATTCTCTTGAATAAAGATTTTTTGGTTCATTGTTTTTTCCTGTCGCAATTCTGTGTTTGAGGTTAGAAAATCACATTTTTCTCATGTTCTATTCCCTGTGTAATAAATTTCCTGTTAAGGTGGTTCTCATATGAGAACAGATCGTACAACCTAAGATAGGCTAATCAACCACAATACACACAGAAAGTGTTTAAAATCATAAGGGGAACCTCAAAATACAAAAATGAAAAGGTCTTTCCATTAAAAAAGTTTGGTCTGCTTTCACTTTTGGACTACCCTGTATATCATTTTTTTTTATTTTTATTTCAACTTTTTTTCAATTTCTTATAAGAAATCTACGGTACTCCATCATATCTTTGACCCACCCTGAAAATCAATCTACAACATGAACTTT